AATTAGCCTCCAACTAATAAAAAAAAAAAAGTATGCATTTGAATCCATTCTAATGAGGTAGATGAAACTGGAGCCTATTATGCAGAGTGAAGTAAGTCAGAAAGAAAAACACCAAAGCAGTATATTAACGCATATATATGGAATTTAGAAAGTTGGTAAGGATGACCCTATATGTGAGACATCAAAAGAGACACAGACACAAAGAACAGACTTTTGGACTCTGTGGGAAAAGGCGAGGGTGGGATGATTTAAAAGAATGGCATTGAAACATGTATATTATCACATGTGAAACAGATCACCAGTCCAGGTTGATGCATGAGACAGGGTGTTCAGGACTGGTGCACTGGGACGACCCTGAGGGATGGGATGGGGAGGGAGGTGGGAGGGGGGTTCAGGATGGGGAACACATGTACACCCATGGCTGACTCATGTCAATGTATGGCAAAAACCACTACAATATTGTAAAGTAGTTAGCCTCCAATTAAAATAAATTAATTAATTTAAAAAAAGAAAAAAAAAAAAACTGGGAATGAGACTTCCCAGCAACGTGGGACAAAATGGTCATGAAATGCCCCCCCAAAGTATGGTCGGATTTATGACCACAAGGGGCTGTGTCAACTAAAAATCGGCACTTACCAAGAGCATTGCCAGTGACTGAACAACAAAGGCCTTTGCCATCTGCCTGTACGGAGACTGAAACCCACGCTGCTATAGCTGCTGACCTTCAACACCCCCTGAGGGAGGTCAGGGTGGAGGGAGGCGCTCTGTGCTCCAGGGAATCTGCTGGACAGGTCTTTAGATAGTTGGGTGTTTTTAGGAACAGATTTTATGATCTCCATCCTTGCATCTCCTCATATCTAGAGAAGCACTAAATCTCTTCATGGTGACATCAGATCCTCACGACTAAGAAAAACCTTTTGTAAAGTGAGTGCTTCATGGCATCGAACTCCCTCTTCACCAAAACCTTATATATAGACTTTCCCCCACTGCTGCTTTGGAGCATCTCTCAGAGCTCTCTGAGATGCTGCCTCCCACTCTGCAGTCCTCATTTTGCCCCAAATAAAACTTAACTCACAACTCTCAAAAAAAAAAAGGGAAGATAAGGAAGGTCAAAGAGGCTTGTACAGGGTTTCAGTGGCGGTGGTTTAATCGCTAAGTCGTGTCCGACTCTTGCCACCCCATAAACTGTAGCCCGCCAGGCTCCTCTGTCCAAGGCATTTCCCAGGTGTGAATACTGGGATGGGTAGCCATTTCTTTCTCCAGGGGATCTTTCTGGCCCAGGGGTTGAACCTGCGTCTCCTGCACTGCAGGTGGTCCTTTACCGCTGAGCCCCAGGGATTCCCTTATACCCTTCATTACAGCACCTTAAATAGACAGTAAGAAAACTAGCAGGCCAGGCAACTCAAGACAGAGAGGTGGCTTGAAGACAGGGGTGTTGTTTGTTTTCTGCAAGTGGCTGCAGGTTTACTGTCATAATTCATATTTGATCATTGAAATTTCAGGCACCTGTCTTACTATCCCCTGTCCCCATATAACTAGTTTTGTTCTCCAGAAATATTAAGAGAATAGTGCATAAGTGAGGAAAATTTATTATTCAACTTCTAATACTATTAATGTCAATGCACATAGTTCAACACAACTAAAAAAAAAATCTTTTTTACACATTTTTATAAATGGTATGTGACTCTGGATCTGAGAAAGAAATCTACTTATTGCAAATTGGAAATGTCATTCTCTGTAATATAAAATTGCCTGTTAGGAGCATGGCAAGTATACAGTTTAAGACGACACGGTTTATTTATTTATTTATTTATTTTTTCCATTTATTTTTATTAGTTGGAGGCTAATTACTTTATAATATTGTAGTGGTTTCTGTCATACATTGGCATGATTTACATGGGTTTACATGTATTCCCCATCCCGATCCCCCGTCCTAACTCCCTCTCTGCCCGATCCCTCTGGGTCTTCCCAGTGCACCAGCCCCAAGCACTTGTCTCATGCATCCAACCTGGGCTGATGATCTGTTTCACCCTAGATAATATAAATGTTTTGATGCTGTTCTCTTGAAACATCCCACCCTCACCTTCTCCCACAGAGTCCA